ATGCTCTTTTCGATGCGCGTCGGCTCAATGTACGGCGCTGCAGTCTGTAGCGACGGTCTAGAGAGTATCGTGAGGGACGACGTATACGGACTCGCTCTGTACGTGTAGCGAGGGGTCTTGGCGACCGATGCTTTCTTGGCGCGCTCGAGGTGTTTGGTCTCGGCGGCGAGCCGACGGCCCTCGTACTACAGAGAGAGTGTGATGCTTTGGGAGCTTAACATCGCAAAGCACCTGATGCGTCTTCCACTCGTCGAGCGTCATGACGATTTGAAACTCAAATGCGCCGTCGAGCTCCAGCGTGTTGAGCACGGGGCTTTCCGTTGCGTAGTGTCCTGGCTCGCGCAGAACGTAGAAATCTACGCAGCGCGCTGGCGACAGTAGCAGCACCGAGGCACGCACCGCGGGACGGCGCGAGCTTGGTCCAGCTGCGCGGCGCTGGGTCCTTGGTCTCCCACTTGTAAAGGGGCTGTTGTTTGGCAGGCTTTGCCGGCTATCGATATGCCATAGCCAGAGATGCATAACTCGACTCTACTGCACCGGCGTGAGCTGCTGGTTGCTGTTGGTGCGAGCAGTGGGCGTGCTCTTGGCCTGTGGACCGCTACAACGAGCATCGTAGTCAGAGAGACAGCCAATCGCATCAACGAACTTGAAAAGACGCGCATTCGGTGTGGCTGTTCGCGGTGCTGGCTTGGCCAAGGTCTGGGCCACCTCGCGCAGCCGCAGCAGCTGATGGTCCAAGTGCACCGCACGCGGGTCTAGTCAGTCTGAACTGGGTGCACCATGGAAGATACTCGCACCGTCCACATGCGTGCGACGTAGCTCGTCGACTTCGTCTACGCGGCGCTCGACGGCGTCGAGCAAGACCGAGATCTATCGCAGCATCGCTCGCCCTGTTGTTGTCGGCTTCTCAAACCTCCGTGTCGGGCAGCGCCTTCTTGAGCTCTGCGACTTGCTTCTCGAGCGCATCCACTGCAGCGTATGCCATTCCATTGAGGTCTTATTGCAGGCGATTGCTCTACCTTCCTTGACGAGCGTTGGGACGCGGCGAATGTCGACGCGGTGCCAGCTCGCGACGCGCCTGTCCATGATCGTCCGTCGGTTTTGGCGTTGTCGCATCGGATTGGTCGGAAACCTTTCGTATCGACAAATCACAGACGCGTATTTTGGTGATATTGACCAATCATATGCGTGTATGAAGAATGGAACAGGGCGGTTTGGTATTGGTGGATTTGCTGCGATGGCGGGCAAGGAGATCTTCGGCGACGATGGCGCGGGCCTCGAGCTCACGGTGAACTCCAAGTTCGCGGACCAGTACATCGAGCGCAAGCGCAAGGAAGAGCTCTCCAAGCAGCGCTACGACGACGACGACGACGAGTCCTCGGACTCGGAGACCGAGGACGAGGACGGCGACCAGCTCACGACCGAGCTCGACAAGGACATCTCGCGGACGCTCAAGCTCATCCGGTCCAAGGACCCGTCCATCTACGACAGCAAGATCAGCTTCTTCGAGCAGGCCTCGGACGACGAGGATGAGGACGATGAGGATGGCGAGGCCAAGAAGGCCAAAAAGACCAAGAAGACCAAGCCGCTCTACTACAAGGACCTCGTGCGCCAGCAAGTGCTCGCTGGCGACCTCAACAGCGACGAGAGCGACGAAGAGCCGCCGGTCACGACGTACGCCGACGAGCAGAAGAAGCTCAAGGGCGACTTTCTCCAGTCGGTCGCGGCCGAAGCCGACGAGGAAGAGGAGCTCGATGGCGGCCTCTTTACCGTGCGCAAAAAGACGGCGGACGACGAAGAGCGCGAGGCTGCCGACTTCAAGGCGTTCCAGGAAGAGAACCCGGACGCAGTTGACGAGCTCGACGCCGATGCGTTCTTGGCCAAGTTTATGAAGTCGGGCGCGTGGAAGGAGAAGCGCAAGACCCCGAGGTACACGCCCCGATAAGAACTTACTGGCACTTACTCATACATGTTAGCTACGCCGAGATTGTGGGCAATGACAAGGTCGACGACGACGAAGACGCCGACGAGCTCGACAAGGCCGACGCCTTTGAGCACTCGTACAACTTCCGCTTCGAAGAAGAAGGCGCCGGTCAGATCCAGACCTTCTCGCGTGTCGTGGAGGACTCGATGCGCCGGAAGGACGACAAGCGTAAGAAGGACCGTGAGGAGCGGAAGGCGCGCAAGGCCATTGAACGCCAGAAGAAGGAAGACGAGCTCCGCCGACTCAAGAACCTTCGCCAGGCCGAGATTCAGTCCAAGATCGACAAGGTTATGGCGCTTATGGGCCCGACCAAGTCGGCGCTCACGGTCACAGACGTGGACGGCGCGTTCGACCCCGAGGAGCACGACCGCCGCATGGCGCAGGTGTTCAACGACGACTACTACGGCGAAGACGCTGTCGACGAGGACGGCAAGCCTGTCTGGGAAGATGACGATGACGTCTTTGGGAAGCTCCCGGAAGAGGACGAAGAAGACGACGAAGACGACGACGATGCCAAGGCCCCTGCGCCATTGGCCGAGGACGAAGACGAGGCCAACGACGACGAGCCTATGGAGGACGCTGCCGACGAGGTCGACGAGGAGATGCCGGAGAACCTCACGGTCGAAGAGGTCAAGGCCATGAAGCAAAAGTACCTCGACGAGCTCTACGCGTTGGATTATGAGGACATCATTGGCGACATGCCGTGCCGCTTCAAGTACAAGACAGTCGAGAAGAACGACTATGGTTTGACGACCATGGACATTCTCGACGCGGATGACAAGGACCTCAAGTCGGTCGTCTCGCTCAAGCGCCTCGCACCGTACGTGGACCGCGAGTACTCTGTGAACCGCCGCAAGGTCCAGCAACTCCGCAAGCAACTGCGCTCCAAGCGGTCGGCCAAGAAGCCAATTGACGAGGCGGAAGAAGCGGCGCCGGAGGCAACCGAAGAGGTGGCTGTAGAGTCGACCGAGGGCAAGAAGTCCAAGAGCCGGAAGCGCAAGCGCAAGTCCAAGTCGGCGGAAGAGACCGACGAGCCGGCCGCCGTCGACGATGACGAGGTCGCGGCGCCGACGGAGGACGCTTCGGCCGAGTCGTCCAAGAAGAAGCGCAAGCAAAAGAAGAAGAAGACAGAGAAGACACCGGACACGGGTCTCTCGGCGTCGCGGCTCGAGTCGTACCGGTTGAAGCCACTCAAGTGATAACATAAACAAGCGCGAAACGCTGCCTTTCTTTTTTTAGTCCATCTTGGAGTGTGATCTCATGCTGCTCGGGAAGAAGCCGCTGCCGCCCCACCGGCAACGCACGCTCCGTCGGCTCCTGGGCAACCCCGAAGGCCTCGATTACCTCACGTCGGAAGATGCTACTTTATACCCGCCCGTCGTGATCCACGGACGCGTGTACACGAACGTCGACCCGATGTCGCGCGAGCGCGCTCAGAAGCGCTGGGACGCCCTCCGCGACGTAGTCATTCGGACGCCAGAGCTCACGCGCATTGCCCAGAAGCTCCAGGAGAGCGTTCGGTACAGCCCCGACGCCGGTTTCCGCTGCCAACGTTTTGTGGCGTAGGATCCTCAAGATGCACCCGTCCGAGCGCTCCGACACGGACGTCGCGCAACTCTACTCGTGGCTCATGTCCCAAGAGAATCTGAGCCCTGTCTTTCAAACGAGTGCAGTGCACCGCGCCACTTCCGTGCTCAACGCTGTGCTTAGTGCCCGAGAAGATTGGCAAGAACGTCTGCCGTGAAATGGAGTTTCTTCATCTTCGCCGTACGACGATGCATCTGTTGCATGATCTCACGAGGACGTGGGTAGCCAACGACATTATTGTCCATCAAGGCGACGTCGGCGAGACGTGCTTTGTACGAGGCGTCGCCACAACACGATGCAGAGCGAGTGCTTGGTAGATTGTCATCAGCGGTCAAGTGGGGATCCACGTCCGGAGTCCGGACGAGCAAGACGCGTTTGCCAGAGCAGGCGGGCGCAGAGATTTTCTGCCCGACCCGCTGACGTGTCAGCAAGAGCAAGACGCGGCGCATCAAGCGGCGACTCGCAAGCCCAGCTTTCAAGTCGGTGCGCGGCGACAGAGCAACTTTGTGCCGCCACCGCCACCGAGGGTCCGTCTGTGTAGCGCTTGAGGTGCCTAATCAAAGCCGTGTGTGCAGCCAGTTGTGACCCCCGAGAGCCTCGCGCGCTGCGGCAACAAGGTCACGACGCTCCGGTCCGGCGCGACGTTTGGTGAGATTTGTCTCATCGAGCCCGACTCCAAGCGCACGGCGACTGCGATCGTCGATGCCTCTTGCTCGATGGCCAATCTCATCGTGCTCTCTGCGTCGTCGTACGCCAAGATGACGCGCAGCCAGCGCACCGAGGTGTGTTTCCAGAGCACACTCGATACATTGATATGATACTATGGGCGCAAGGGCACCATCTCGGACCACATTGCCTTTCTCGCGCAGATGCACCTCTTCAAGACGTGGTCCAAAATGCGTGCGTCGACAACTGCGATTTTCACAGGTCGTACTATGTGAGTTGTGTGCAGAGCTCATGCGTCTCGCCTCGTCTCTGCGCTTCATGGTGTTTGCGCCGCAGGTAGATGCCACCGATAAGATCTCATTGCTGGACGCATGCCAGTAGCAGTACATTTTGCGCAAGAATGTCGATGTCGAGTACTTCTACATGCTGCTGGGCGGCGAGGCGAAGGAAGTGTCGTGCGTCTCGTTCCACGAAGACATTACGACCGGGTGCGTGGTGATGCTACCGCTCCATTATCCGCTCAAAGCGACGACCTAGCATTGCGGTCAAGACAGCCGAGCACAAGGTGACGGCCGAGCTCACGCACCTCAGCAAGTTTGACGTGGCGGGTGCATCAACGATCCTCGCCGCCGTGTTGATAGGCTCGCAATAGGCGAAGGACTCGTCCTCGGTAAAAAAGTGCACTTGTGTCCCGTGGACGTCAAGGCCGGTACTCCCTGCGAGAGTGCTGCATGGTTGATACCTTGTACACTACGATAGAAAGCACGGTCGTCGCTCTCGGCCTCAGTGTACCTTCGATTATCTCTTCACGTCTCAGTCTTTGTGTGACGCGCCGCCGTAGAAGAAGCTGTTTGGCATGTACTTTTTGGGCGGGAACGCGTCGCATCGGCACGTGCAGCACTCGGCCAAGATCCTGCGGCAGCTCTACGACGCGCGCCAGCACTGGCGCGAAGCCCGCGTCCAGCAAGCGCTCACGTACCCCGAGTACATGGTCCAAATGTCTGTCCCTATGAAATGGCACGAGTCTCACACAAGGTAGCACGGCCAAGATGATGCGACTCAGCGGCAACATTTGCATGCAGTGCGGTCGGCGCACGCACGTGGCCGGCGATGTGCTCTGCCTGTCCGAGACGTCGCAGCGGCACCACCCGGCGGTCGACCACTTTGGCGACAAGGCGAGCAATCACATTGCTTCGCTGACTGACGACGAGAACGACGACGAGGCGGCCGCCGAGAGCTCGAGCGAAGACGGCGATACAAGCCGGCACGACACACGGAGCCTAGAACGGCACGCAGTTCTCAAGAGCTACTGGAAGGACGCCGCCAAGCACGGGCTCACCCCGCGCCGCCCGTCCACCCACAGCGTACTGCACTCTATCGCGGTCGTTCGACCCGCCTACGTCCTGTCGATAGATGCCTCGGGTAAGCAGCCGTCGCAAGCCCGGCCCCGAGATGATTGCGGCGGTCCGAGCTTCGTGGCCGTACCAGCCATTCCCGTCCATCCTCACAAGCACACCGCACTAAGATCATATTAAAAGGCCACTTCTTTGATGCCCAAACTCTCGATCGCAATGTCTTCGGCCGGGTGCTCGTACGCCCGGCGGTGGAACGACGAGGATGACGACGACGACGTCATGGTGTTGGTATACGTGCGGTCCCCGACGTCCTCGTCGCGCGGAAGGTCGGTCGTCTCGGCGAGGTACTCGGCGCTCGTCATGTACGCTGTCGCCGACTGCGCGAGGACCTTGAGGATCTCGAGCTGCGTGTAGTCGATGACCTTGCGCGGCTTGACGTCTGCGACGCAAATGTCACCAATGCACTCGCCGCTCTCGAGCACCATGGGCACGCCGACAAAGAACTGGACGCGCGAGATCGACCGCTTCTCGTCGCTGATGCGTTTGTCCGAGTGCACGTCGAGGACGACGCAGGGCTTGCCCGTCTGCGCCATGCGGCGAAACGTCGGGAGCGACTTTGGCATGCGACTCATGTCGGCCGTCGGCGCGTACTGGACAATCTCAAACAAATTGGTGCGGATACCGGCCATGGGGCAGTCGAGGCTCTGCATGGCGGTGCGGCAAATCTCGGCAAAGTCCTCGTTCACAAACGTCTGCCGCTTGGACGCCTTCTTGTGCGGCCGAGAAACGTCGTCCGCCGAGCTGTCCGACCGGCCCGACCCGCGGGCGGTCTCGTGGCTGTGACGGTTGCCGCCGCTGGACCGGTGGGCCGGGCGGTCGGGGCTCTGGCGATCGGCGCTTTGCCGGCGGTCGGGGCTGTGGCGGTCGGCGCTTTGCCGGCGGTCCGGACTGTGGCGGTCGGCGCTTTGCCGGCGTTCCGGTTGGTCGACAAAGCTGCGTGCATGGGACGCCGACGACGGTGTACGGTGGAACGACTGCATGTAGTTGGAGCGCTCGATGAGCGACTGCGTCGAGCCGCAGCCGCCGAGGTGCGCGTACGCCTGCGCGAACCGCGTCGTGAGCTTCGTCAGCGCCGTGCTCACGAGGTTGCTGCCGCCGGCTTTTCGGCATGCAAGCGTTAGCGTCACGATCGACTTGTGGCCGTCGGGCGATGGCGTAATCACAAACGCGCTGGGCTCGAACCACGCGAGCTTGTAGCTGTCGGGCTTGGCGCGGAGACCGTACTGCGCGCCGACGCCGTCGTACGATTCAAACATGACGATGGCCGAGGGTCCATACATCTCCGAGTGGTGCATACCGCAGTATTCGTAGAAGAGAAGCTCCTTCGGCTTTGTAAACGCTTTGCCCGTGCTCATGGCGCACCACTTGAGCGTGAGCGACTCGGCCGCGTCGTTATGGCGCGTGTGCGCGTGCAAGACCTCGCCGTCGAGGAAGGACTTCCCGTGGAGGTCCTTCATCGTGCTGCGAAAGGTGTTCGAGTCCAGCAGCCGAAGTAGCTCGAGCGTATACTCGATGGGCATGTTGACGGATGTCACGAGGCGCAAGGCCACTTGCTTGTTGGCGCTGTTGCTGCTGTGCTTGTATACGCGCGTATCGTGCTTGCTGTGCATCATCGTCCAGTGCTCGAGGTCCATGGAGCTAGCCACGACGCGCTCGAGCTTCTTGCGGCCATCGAGGTACATGTGCTCGAGGTCAATGTCTGCCGGCCACGCGCTCGCCTGCTCCATCATCCTCGTCGGCGCGGCAGAGGCAGCGAATGCAAATATTATCGACCGATCGTAGTTCGTATGCGTTCGAACCCGAAGTTCGAAGCAGAACCACGCGTTGCAGCGATGGCGGCGCGGTCCTCTCGCACGCAGCCGTTCGTGTGTCTTTGGCGTCGACACCGCGCTACCTCTCGGCGAAAGTAAAGCTACTAATACCACGCACTTGGCGCTTAGTAGCTACTCCGCGGCAGTGTGCTGCGGTCGAGCTTTCTGGCGCGTGTGCAGGTTCAGTGCACGGCTGCCACCTCGGTCGGCTTGTTACTGCCGCACCCATACTATACTAGACGCAACTGGAGGCAGACCTGCGGACAAGCACCCAGACCACAGTCTCTAAACGTCCGGAGTCTCGTACGGTGGGACCAATCACGCCACCGCGCCTGGCGAGTTGCCCATCGTTGCCGTGACGTGGCAGCGGCTTGGGCGGTTGCGCGAGAGAGGGCGCCGAACGTTCTTTGGCGGGCGGAAGAAGCAGCCGGATACGCTTTGACGTGCATCCGGAATGTTCTGGAGCCGTTGGGACCGGGCGGAAGCTATTTCGAGTGAAGGTCCTTCCATATTTTGAGCCAATCCGCACGCAGAGAACAAGCCGAGCCAAGCCGAGGTTTCGAAATTCATTTTTGCATTTGCCAGCTCCAGCTCAAGCAGCGCTTCACCATGCAGATCTTTGTCAAGACGCTCAC